TAATAAAACCACTTTTCCAAATTGAGGACTTTTCAGGGGAGAGATATAAAGACTCCAGAAACGAAATTAGTCCATAACTTTTTTATGCTTAAATAAGAAAATTATAAATTTCACAAATAGTACGTTACTGATGAGGCCGGAAAGTAAGGGATTGCCGGACGAGCATGAATTATACGTATTAATACGAGCCAAGCAATCCCCGTTACCGCCGGGGCTTGTATAGTGCTTTTCTCAAACAATGTGAGTAAATAATAAAATACCAAAGAGAGGAAGATGTATAAGAAAAAAGTAAAAAACATTAAAAATAATATTTGACTGTTAGGACAATTTGCTAAAAGAAAATGTTGATATTCTTCCGTTTTTCGTTGGTAGTCTATAGTAGTCTGCCGAACTTCTGATGATGTGATTCATGTGGTTTCATAGGTTTTTACATATCTCACTTTGCTCATGCTCATAACCAGCAACAACTTTTCCATATTAATGCTAATATTACCTCTTTTTTAAATTAGGCAGAGTACAATCAATTACTATATTTCCGTTATCGCTCTTCTCCCTAAAACTATTTTTTCGACGACAATACAAAAAAACGATAAAGCAGAAGAGAATACCAAAGCACTTTAGTTTATTTCACCACATTTTTTTTTAAAGTTATCTGTAAAGGTAGGTATTTTTAACTCTCGCAATCACGAACATTGGGCAGTTGTCTGTATAAATTTTTCTTTTGCCTGTTTGCGTAGTTCATTAATAGTAGACAAATTTAAAAGTATAGTGAAGTGGACAGTAATGGATTTTCATGCTTACTTTGCAGGCATCGAGTATAACCAGAAATAGAGACAAAATAAGGGCCATACATTCCTGGTAACTCATCAGTGATACATCACTTATATTTAATAAATATCAACTCTCGTTTGCACTGAAATAAAGATAGGCCAACAACTGACCTGTGTGTACGTCTCCGTATATTCCAAAAATATATTGTATTTATTGTAATAAAGATAACATTTTTAACAATGGCGTGCTGTTCCATTCGGTAGTGTGGAAAAAAGCAGCAAAACATCTAATTACAAACCAAACAAAACCAAATTTCATCGGTAATTAAATATTAAATATGTAATTTTGCAATTTTCGTCCATTATTGCAAAGCCAACTCAAGTTACCTTTGACGACACCCGTCAATTGTTTCAAATTCAGGCTAGCCAATTGGAGCGCAGTTGTCACAGTAATGATATGACAGAATAATTTTCAAACAGAGAAAATGACATAATATCGTCTCTATCTCTGGTTATATCATTATTCTCGATTGTCTTGGCCGGGAACTTTCCGTGTTCGTTTTTTGAAAGTAATGCAAACATTTCCGAGCATGTTTGAGAAATATTGATTTTTTATATGTAGCTCGTATTATTTTTACGATTATCTTATATATATTATTTTGACTAACCTAACCTAACCTAGCCGCGAGAGAATTGTCTCACTTTACATCTAAGTTCGAATCCCGTGTCATTGATACACCTACATTACAAACCAACCAGCGCTGTTAAAATATCGAATTATATAGTACAAAAAGTCGTCGTGAGAAGTAAAAAATAAGAGGCACACTTGAAGTTCACAATAATATTATGGAAAGTAAACAAAATTTAAAAGCTTCACTTGTGACATTTCGTTTTTAGTTCATTTCTAGTTCAAAAATCAATCCACGCAATAAATGAAGAAACATCTAATAACAATACTCATAAATTTCAAAAACTGCGACAGCACTGTATTAAGTATAAGGTATCGAAAGCTATAATTAAGTATATAGACGTAATTATACGAATATATAATTACGTATATCTTCTATTATTTTTTAAGAACAGATACCAACCTAACAAGCTGTGGTCAATGAATTTGATCGAGACGACGCGAGCTCATAGTTTTTTCAAAGAATTTCGTCTCGCGTGGGAGTCGCAAACATTGCCATAGTAATCCCATATGACAAGCAAAAAACAATTTTACTCCTCCGCACGAGAATTGATTAAGTATTCCATCTTGAGTCGTTTTTTGTTCGTTACCAACAATTGTATAAGATACATGATAAATATAATGATGGCTACCAACGGTTGGAATACAACGCTCCGAATCAGACTAATAAGCGTGTAAATTCATTTTTGTCGTAAGAAAATCATGATATATTATGTTCTCGAGTTTAGAGCTATCAGCTATTGGTCATAAATATCATTTATGCACCTACAACTATTTTGATAATACTAATAATTTGAACTGATTTTTTAAAAAAGAAGGACATAAAATGTTTATAGATTCTGAGAAAAACTACAAAATGCATGCAGGTATACATTACCAAACATCACAACGTGTAATATTCCAAAATAATGACATAATTTTCAGAAATTACTAAAAAACGAAAGAAAGCAGTTTTGCTCAGTTAATAATAATACCAGGACTCTGAATGTAGGAATTTTATAATTCTTTAATTAGTGGAATTCTCCGTACCGCAGATCGGCCCCGAAATGTTGGGTTTCCCGTCAAGAATTATACGTGAATGAAGAAATCGATGATGATGAGGTCCTTGTATTAAAACTTTATTCTCTTTAAATACACTTTTATATTTTTATGTTCAAGATTATGTTTAGTAAATGACATAGTATTGGTAGACACATTTTATATTTTATCTGCTGTAAAATTTTAGACAGTCCTAATTCGTTCAAAATTATTAATTTTCTAATCGGTATTGGCTACTATCTACATCAACAATATATGTCCAATGCTCTTGATAAGGAAAATATATAACAAAACTGGTATATTTCCGAAGAAAATATTTGATCGATTCATTTAAAACGCTCAAAATATTCTCAGAGAGAATTATTAGTTTCGAAACTGTTATTTATTTAAATCATACGAAGACTCGTGACACTTGGGTATTTGAAGTGGACGGATTATTTGACTTCCATTAGACTACAGTGACTAACAAATATAGAGGACATTAGCACTTGTTAGGCATACGAAGGTAGAGTTATTCATTTAGTTTCGCATGTAGATAAATACTTACAAGTAGAAACGATTCTTAAAATGCTAATATATGCATCGCTATCTATTTGAAATTCACATACCTCAAGTTTCTTTTTGTTTAAGCGAGAATTCCCACGAGACCAATTACGTCAAGATACACGTCTCTTGATCCTACCCAGGCAGGCTTGTATAGAGAAACAGTTGATTGCATTATAATTGACTAAAACAATCACCCCCGGTCATAGTAAAACTGTACATTTAATTCTAAACAAAATTGAAATACATTTTTGACGGTTACCTCGTTGAAATGTTGAAGCAAATCAACTTCGAAATCATTATGGCAAAGAAAATATCAATACAAATATGTTATATCGCGTAAATAACAGCTATCAATTGTTCGATGTTCGTTATTTTATACAAAGAAAAGTTCATTGATAAAACAGACGGCTGCACGCTAAAGTAATAAAACTCCCTACTATATACAATTAATTTTAAAAAAGAGTTCCTATTCTGGATTGCCAAGTCGACCTTTCTCCAAACTTGAAAATAATCTTAAGCCAATTGAAAAAAAAAACATTACATTGGGTTCTTTTATTTAAATATAACTAGTTTGAAACACCGACCTTGTTTTAGTGATTTTTTATACATAAAACTTAAATCATCATCTGAGGAACTGTCGGAGGTAATATTGTCTGATATGGGAGCCGCCATATATATGGAGACTGAATCGTATTAAACCGTTCATAAAAAACGTTATGTCCATGTAATTAAGCATAAGCATATAATTTTAGAATGCAAGTATGTATCCATAACACATATTAACTGCAACCGTAAAACGGCTTGCAATGCCTTAAAAGCCGTAAAAATAGACACCCTTTCAGGAAAGTAACGTGTTGCTCATTAATTCACTTCCATCTCTCATCTTTTTTTTAACAACCCCACCTGTATCTCTTAGTATTGCCATTTTGTCTCTTTTTTTAGAAAACAAAATCTCGTTCATTTGCAAGTTGTGATTCTGATGTCTGACAGTTCTGTTTCCATTGATAAGTCAATGATTGAGCCAGTTCATTTTGATCATTTTATAGGTTTGATATTTGACATTATTAGGGAGTACAAAACGCACCCTTGATGTAATAATGACACATCTGCAAAATGACAACTCTGCAGGAGAAAGGCTTACGGATTATATGAACGAAATTAGTCTATAGCTTTTTTGTGCTAAATAGGAATGTTACAAAATTTCGCATGATATATATAAAATTGTTTCATGCAGTTCTTATTATTTTTGTATTTCATATAATAAAAGCACTTTTGACGTATGGATAACATGTGTGGCTAAATTCCACCAATGGTACGATATATTGCAAAAGTTTGTCAGGGGGTGAGGAAGCGAGTCTCATATGGAGGTGTTTTTGTCGATAAAATTGACCATAGTTTAAGCCCTAAAAGTTTTTGCATTACATCCCCGGACACAGTGTATAGCAAAAGTTTGTTTTAGTTTAGTAATAATAGCGTGTAATTGATGAACCCGATTGTTCAATCAATGTCTTCTGCCCACCATGACGTATGGTGCCAAAATATGGACGCGCACGCTCCAGTCTGTATACAGGTCGAGAATTGCATAGAGGGCCATGGAGCACGCCGTGCTTGGCATCAGCCTCATTGACCGATTTCCGAAGTTGACATCCGACGACGGACGAAAGTCCAGAATACTGGAACTCGGATCATGGAACTCAATTGGGATTGAGCGGGACACATAGCAAGGCGATGTGATGACAGGTGGAGCAAGACACCTACTGATTGGTGGCCGAGGATAGGTAAAAGAAGTGTCAGGCGCCCGGTGGCAAGCTTTTTTTAAGGTACACGTTGCGTGGCGTCAATAGTTGCAGCTAACACAAGACCGTGATGAATGGTACAATCTCCGGGATGATCCTATATCCAGCAGTCGGTCAAATGAGGCTATGGATGATGAATGTATGATTATAGGTTCAACTTACCTGACGCCTGATCATGACATGGCTAACCCGGCCACGAACCCGCACCGATAGCACGAACTCCCCAGGCCGCGACTGGGACTCTCGCACCAGGAACGAGCCATTTTTGCCCTTCTCCATCATCAAGTGTTCAGCCTCCTTCGCCGACATGATGCCGTGGAACCATCTGGAAAACCGTTAATCGTCTAGGTCATGATCACCGTCTGAGTACATTATTCCAATGGATCAAAGTGTAATATTATTCCTGGTCGCATTCCAATGTTTCGAAGTGCTAGATAATGTACATAAATTAATAGTTTGCTGTAATAAGGACTACGTAAGTAACAATAGATCTCATTGTGAAGGAGTTCATCCAGAGAAGTATTGCCACCTTACCTATTTCTGCCGGTAAGGTTTTACGTAACGGTTATTGATTATTTTATTAATTATTTTCCAGAGATAAACGTTGTCCAGAAACACACCGACTGTGAAGTGAAGCTGTAAATGGGAATACCATAGTTACGTCTACCATATATAATATGGATAACATGCCTATTCACTACGACCTAAAGAAATATTTAGAATTATGAAACATAAAATAAAAAATATAAAATAACAAGACTCTAGAGTACTGGAAGTGGTCGTGCATCAGTAGTTAGTCCTTGATCAAAAGCAATGTCACACTTGACGTCATTTAAATGTAGTAAACTAGAATCCAGTATCAACTGCAGACTCTCATTACATAAACAATCATGTAATATTTACGTACATGACTTGTACATATAATACCTATAATTTTGAACAGCGAAAAACAAGCATGTCATTAAAATTTTTAACCAATAGATACCATTTTTCTAGTCGTATACCTACGAACGTAACTACGTTACAAGAATATACTTTTAATTTTTTTTTTTAAAGAAACTAATATATGCATGTTATAATTATTAAAATCTATATTATATGGTCAATTCAATTTCCTATTACTTACGTTATTGACGTAAGAGAACAACAATACTAAAAGACAACAACAATACTAAGAAATTGAGTTATTAGCATATCTGGAATCAGTGAAACAATAACTACAACCCCTATAAGCAGTTTTTTTTTGTCCTATTTCGTTTCAGTTTTATTGTTAAACAAATTAACAGTTTTCGAAGAAAAAAGTTTAAAATAAAATAAATTACTAAAATGCAAAAGCGTCAGTTATGACAGTTATGTCAGAATTATGTTTTATAAAGTTAATTCATTTTGGACTACAAACAACAATATCATTTTCATTTGATATTCGAAACAATTATAAAACGAGTGTGCGAAATTAAGAGAAAAAGGTAATAGTGAGAAATGACTAACTTAATTAACCGCCTCTGAAATACTTTTAAAGGCCAAACTTTTAGACTTACCGTCAACTCGTTAATAAATCGCTAAGAACCAAGGTGCCACGTATAAATTTTAGCAGTTCTTTGCTTTGCAGTAATTTTGCAGTTATCACGTGAGAAAATCCTTTGAATTTGACATATCTACTAAACTTCTTACTTCGGACATTGTTCGTTTTTTAGAAAAACATTGAAATCGTAACTGAAAAAAAAACGTAATTTCGTAATGTTTCGTGTGTTAACCGTGGGAATGAAAAGATAAAATACTTAATAAGATTGATCGTGTATCTATAGTCAAAAGTTCGTTCAAATTAATTTTGTTGAAAGTGTAAGAAAATAAAGGACAACGTAATAAAAAAAACTCTCTAGTGGAACCAGAACATTTTTTTTTTTTTTTTATTAAAAATGGACGTACTCTTGACCACTACCTAGCCCTAGAGCAAAGATGAGGTCTACGTTGGTACGAGCTCGCCCAGAAGATGCCTATTCAATCGCACCTTGAAAATATTCGGGTTGTATGTACTCGGAAAAATAGACGCAGGCAGGGAATTCCAGTCACGGGCTGTGCGCATTATAAAAGATGACGAAAAGCGCTTAGTACGTCTTAAAGGAATATCAACCAGGTGAGGGTGATATCCCGCCGTTCGTCTAGATGTCCGATGGTAAAAGGGGGCGGATGGAATGAGCTGGTGGAGCTCATGGGCACACTCTCCGAAGTATAATCTGTAAAAAACCGACAGACCCGCGACCTTTCGCCGATGGGCTAAACTATGAAGTTTATATTCGAGCTCATCGTCGCCAATAAGCCTCCTGGCTCTGCGATCAATCGAGTCAAGAGCCTCTAGTTGGTATTTCGCTGAGCCATCCCACAGGTGACTGCAATACTCCATGCAAGACCGGACCTGCGCTTTATATAAGGTTAAAAGCTGTCCAGGCGAGAAGTATCGCTTCACCTTGTTAAGGATACCCAGCTTCTTGGCTGCAGTTTGCGCTTTAGACTCTATAGAAGCGCCAAAGTTGAGGTTTGCGCTTAATGCCATGCCAAGAAGCTCTAGGCGGTCGGTAACTGGGACAGATATACCCCGAAAAGTAGGAGTCAGATCAAATGGACTCCTTTTTGCGGAAAAAAGACAGGCCTGCGTTTTGGTGGCGTTGAAGCTGACCAGATTGTTGTCACCCCACTGGGCAACAAGACTTAAGGTCAGGTTCGTTCGCTCTACCATAGCCTCTCTCAGCGAACGAATATCTTCCCTGTCGTCTCTTGCGCTAGACAGATATCTCTCGGTAACTGTACTGTCATCTGCATACCCAACTATACCCGGGACCAATAGGTCATTGATGTGTAGCAGGAAAAGAGTCGCCGAGAGAACAGACCCTTGAGGAACTCCAGCATCAATAGCCATCAAGTCAGATGAGCAGCCTTCAATGACTACTCGAATCGACCGTTCCCCAAGGAAATCTGATATCCAGCTGCAAAAGTCGGCAGGGATGCCGTAAGCAGGAAGCTTGCTCAGCAAACTTGCATGCCAAACCCTGTCGAAGGCCTTTGAGATATCGAGCGATACGGCCAGTACCTCACCGTGTTTCTCGATGGCCTCGCCCCAGCAATGCGTAACATACACGAGAAGATCCCCAGTTGATCGTCCCCGGCGGAAGCCATATTGACGATCACTGAGTAGGTCATTTATTTCAAGGTATGATAGCAGCTTACCGTTCAGAACTCTTTCCATAACCTTGCAGAGTATGGAAGTTATGGCGATTGGTCTGTAATTACAGGGGTCGGCGCGGCTTCCCTTTTTAGGGACTGGTTGCACATTTGCAAGCTTCCATGATTTAGGCACTATTCTCGTTTTTAGTGAGAGGCGGTACAGACACGTCAGTACAGGAGTTAGCTCAGGCGCGCAAAGCCTCAGTACCCGTGCTGGTATACCATCAGGACCACTGGCCTTATTCACATCTAGACTTCGCAGAGGCTCTACGAACCTCTTTTGCGTGGATTGTGACCTCCGGCATTGAAGTGTCACAACGAGGTAAATTTGGTGGATGTTTTGAGCCTGCATCTAGATGCGAATTGCTTTAAACATTGCAGCAAATAAGTTTGCTTTATCCGTTGCAGAGTGAGCCAGTGATCCGTCAGGTTTTTGCATGGGAGGCAAGGTGGGACGGCAGAAGTTGGATTCAACTGCTTTGGACAGGGACCAGAACTGCTTGCTACCAGGAGGGTAGGATGCAAGCCTGGTCCCGATCCTGCTGATATGGTTGAATCTAGCCTTCCGGAATTCGCGTTTGCAGGACTTGGCGGCAGAATTAAAAGCTCTCTTTCTCGCGCGAACCCTCCGGGCTCGAACTTTGTGATCGCGAGCTTGTACCCATGCTTGGTAAGCAGACTGCTTACGGGCCTCAGCACGTGCGCAGTCCACGTTATACCAAGGTCGGGCTTTGTGACCTAGTGGAATGTCGGAGAATGGAATAAAGTACTCCATTCCCTGCCGGATCACATCTGCAACCGCATCAGCAGAACACGAGGGATCACCAGAGGAAAAGCAGACTTGCCGCCAAGGATAAGACGCAAAGAAGTGCCGCATCTCATCCCAATCTGCTGACTCGTATCGCCATATTCTTCTTGTACCTCTTGGACAGTCATCAGGAGGAGAGTAAGTCGACACGGATTTCACCACACAGTGGTCGGATGTTCCCAGCGGTGCCGAGATCGAAACCGAGTGACCGTGTGGATATGTTGTCAACAGAAGGTCCAAACAATTGGCTGCATGTCCGTCAACATCCGGTACCCGCGTTGCTTGGCTTACCAGCTGGGTGAGATTTAGCGATAATGCAAATTTGCGCGCCTCCCTCCCAGCATGGTCTGTTTTTACGTACGGAAACAGCCACTCACTGTGGTGAGCATTAAAGTCCCCGAGAAAAATAAGCTCTGCTGAAGGGTACCGTTGTTGGGCGTTATCTGCCATCTCAGTTAGGTGGACGAAGAGCTTAGTTGTCTCCTGGTCACCACTGTGCGATCTGTAGACACAGATATAGAGATATTTCTCCATTCCTGTGTCCACCAGAATCCATACATGTGAAAACCCGTTACTTTCAAAGCAACGGAGACGCCGATAGCAAATTATGTCGTCACGTACGTATACGCAAACCCCAGCTGGCTGCAGAAATTTATGCTCAAGCGAGTATCCTGGGTAGTTGAGGTACGCAACGTCAGACGGTGTTACTATTTGCGTCTCCGTTAAGAAGAATAGGTGCGGCTTCTCAGTCTCTAGGTGGTAGTGGACCGGATCAAGGTTAGAGTGCAGGCCTCGGATGTTAGTGAGGTGCACCTTCATTGGGAGGAAGTGCAGCCGTTGTTTAAACTTACTCTTCTTATGACTTTTTATTTTCATGGTGGTTGGTGGTGTTGGTGGGGAAAAATTTGATGTTCCAGGCGCCACTCAGTTGACCAATAGGATCTCTTAAGATAGCTGCCCATTGGGGAACTCACATGGAGACTGCGGGGACGCCCGAGCCCCCCCGAAATGGCCACCGGGTCCTCCCATCCAGTCGCCAACTGGCACGGTGGAGCATTTCGGGATTTTTCGCGAGGTGGCGGGGCAGCCTTTTGCACGTGGCTGGCGCGCTACTTGGGCCCCCTACTGCCTGCGGTCGGCCAACGGCAGGACCGTGCCTCGGATCCCGCTACCCTCCAGAATGAGTTACCCGGTACAGCTTATCTCAGAGTCCAAGACCGGTACTAAGCGGCGCAACAAACACCCTCAAATTTCCACAAAGGCACTGGGACTTCCGCACACAGACGGAACGCAGCAAG